TGAACCTGGTACATCATGACATCCTTTTTCATTATCCGCGGTATAGTGGCTCATAGAATGGGTCCGAGTTCTTTTTCAAGAACAAAATTTTAGCTCATAGCTCCATCTCTTGACCGATTTCGGATCTAATTACAGCCGCGGCTATTGAGGATTCCCTCTTGTTTCATGCGTAAATCCCAAGTAGAATAACATGTCACAATACATTAACAAAGGTGTAAAAACTTACAGCTAGTTCAAATATCATAAGCATCAGGAAACCACTTTCTCTTAGCACGGAACTAAATTCGTCATTATGGTCATTTCTGATATCAATTTGTAAAGAAAACGTAATGCGATTAATTGTTCATTTTTTATTAGCTTCCTCATGGTCCTAGCAAAAAGTCTTCCAAGAATGAGAATCAATAGGCCTTAACAGCTTCAGTTACAGTAACCACGTGCTTTCTAAGGTTGCCATGTGTGTAGATCCAAGAATATTACATCTTGCTTTCCTTTACGTGAAACATAGCTGTGTAATCAAAGCAAAGAAACATCTACACTCGCCAATATTACATTAAATTTTATAAAATTATCGTTCACCTACAACGAGAGCGACCGTAGTTATGTGTACGAAGCATGTTTCGGTGCTGTATTTCGTAATCACAGAGAATACAAACAAGCCAGCATTGTTTGGTCTGGCTCAAGTACTTACTGTACATATTAATGTTCATCGTGAGAAGAAACGAAATCGGTTACGAGAAAATCAGTAACTAATATGTAATAAAAACGATACTTCAACGAAGCTATATTTTGGTACTTTCTTTGATCGTACTGTTTTTCAAATAGCTTATCAAACGAATACTCCACTATTACGTGTCGTAGAATGAAATGTGTCTTGCTTAAACTGGTGACTTTTTCCTTTTACAATTTTTCTTATTAAAAAAACCTGTCTTTTAAACGCTAGTTTTACTGTAAATTTTTTCATGTGTAATAAGCACAGTTCTCAGTTTCAATAATTTTATGACAGAGCGATGTGCTGATTATTTCAAAGAAAACGTAATTGCAATGACAAGTAAACGAAATGTAAATGTTTAAACTCACAAACAATCTTTATGACTGAACATAGTGATTAAGAGTCACGTGGTGTAACGCAAAAAAGATCGGTAATATCCACCCAACAAATTGAAAAGATTTCACAATATGCTATATATATAATATTAATAATAATAAAGGGTGGGTCTGTGTGTGTGACCGCCATAACTTCTATAAAGAACCCAGAAACCTGAAATTTTGCACACATACTAAGTGGACTCTGAGGGTGTGCACTTGGGTATTATTACTTATCCACGTGCGTGCGCAGTTGCGCATCTTTTTAATGAGGCTAGGTAGCGAAAAAACCACATAGCAAAGAAGTGGTTTCTTATATTATGAATAAGAATCACAGACAGACACGAATATGTGTGTGCGTGTCTGTGTAGGTGTGACCGCCATAGCTCCAAGGGAAAAGAACCTAGAAACCTGAAAGTTTGCACTCATAGTAAGTGGACCCTAAGGGTGTGCACCTGGGTATTATTTTGTATATTATCCACGTGCGCGCCCCATAGTATACCCTGTAGCATATCAGATTAACTTCTAATATACAGAAAAGCCAGTGCGTTTTGATAACATTGTGTTCCAACAATGGCTTTTATGTCATGTTGCTTAGCAACAAAAGTATAACCTAATATTATTGTTAGTCTATGAACTGAAAGTATAAAATGAAATGTATAAACAAGAAAACTGGAAACTATTTGTTGATTTTTTTTATAGTCTCCGTTGATTAAATAGTTTTTTTTTTATTATTAAAAATGTTGGTGATATAACAGAAAATAGCTTAATTCAGAAACTATTTAAGTTTAAATTTGGTTTATATTTTTACTTTCATGATAAATTTTATGCACTTGCTAAAATATATCATAGAAACCCACGCAGTTGCTATGGTGCATCAAACTGTCTATATAGTACTTGATCCGGGTATGCGTTTCTTAAGTCTATGCGGGTTTTGCTCCAATGGTCAGCATTCTGATTCACCCGGGTCACAAGGTCACAATACCAATCAGGACATGAAACCATTATGAATGAGCAAGGGCGTCAAGATAATACGCGATACCAGTAGGGCGGTTTGTTAATTTTTTGGGGGTGCTTCCGTAAAGCTACACAAGGGCCATCTATGCTAGCCCTATTTTGACCTAATGGGCTAGAGAGAAAAGTCAACTATTTTAATGAATTAAATTTTATAACGCAAATTTTGGACACAAAGAGAGAACGTAATTTTACAGAAACGGTTTGTTTTGAATTTCGTTTAAACTACTCGATGGTTGTCTGCGCTAGCCGTCCCTAATTTAGCAGAGAAAGATTAGAGGGAAACACAGCTAGTAATCACCAACCACTTCAAACTTTTGGACTAATCTATTACCAACGAATAGTGGGATTGAACGTCACATTATAACGGCTGATAGGGCAAGCATATTTAGTGGGACGAGGATTCGAACTCGCGACCCTCAGATTGCAAGTCCAACGCCCGAACCCCCGGCAAAGCCAGGCCTACATCAGCGAAACGTGAGGCCTGGAACCGCAGCATTACAACACACATATAAAATAAAACAGTGAATGCTGAATTATACCTACTTATAGGCACTTTCCCAAAACTTGAGGATTGCACGGTCTTCCTTGAAAATCGCAGTGTAAGACTGCCAGATTAAATGTCTCTAATTCAACGGGTAAATTCATATTAGGAGCGGTTGTAAGAGGGGGGGGGGAGTTGCTGAGAGTGAAGCTACCTCAGTATGTAGCCCCGTACACCCAACGTATAAT